TTATTAGAAAAAAAAAATAACTACAAATCAAGCCATATTAAAAACAAATAAGAACCTTAAAAAAAAGTCTCTAAAACTTTGGACATGGTAAGCCAACTTTTAGCTCGGAAAAAAAAAAAAAAAAAAACAGCAAGCGTGCATGGAGTAACAAGGCTAAGCTTCCGTGTCTACTTCTTTCTTTTTTTAAAGGTGGACAAGCAATTAGTCATATGCTTAATTTTTTTTTTAAAAAAAAAACAATGCCTTATCTATATCAGCAGGCAATGGATTGCTTTTGGTTTCAACACTGTTCATTATCACTTTTTAGCATGGTTTTGAAATCCAATTCAATAATCAATTCAGCCAAATAATTAAATCATGAGTCAGATCAGTTAACTCAAGTTAATAAAAAAATAAAAATATATATATAACATATTTATTTTTGTTGAATAAACATATTAAATTTTTCTATATCTATAAAAAAAAAATTTGGATTAAATATCGAAGTAATTGAGTCAATCTTGTCAAAACACCTAATAAATCATTTGTATGTTTCTTTGAAAATTTATTATTATAATCATCTTCAATATCATTAATACTTATAACACATATATTTCAAACATAATAAATAAATAAATATTATATATTAAACAAAACTTTATTTTAAATAATATTTATTACTAAATAATCACAAATTTTCAACTCACCATAATTATTCAAAAATAGATTTGATGTTTTCAAATCTCGATAAAAAAACCTAATTATCATGAAGATATATTTCACACCCTCCAACAACCGAGCATTAAGCATTTAACTTCACTTTGACTAAATGGCAGTCACATTGACTCCATGAGTCCTTTGAGATCATGCTCCATGTACTCCATCACCATAAAAATGCTATCAAAGCTACTCTCTACCACAACTTCTTTAACATCAACAACTAAAGGATGATGAAAAAAAAAATGTTTATTTCCCTAAAAAAAGTTAGTGGAAAACCTTCATGTTCTTTCTCCATCTGTATCTTCTTCAATGCTATAATTTCCCGAGTCTTCTTTTCTCTGGCTCTATATACAACATCATAAGTGCCCTCATCTATTTTATTTAGTCTCTCAAACTCATCAACACTTTTACACCCCTAAAGCATGTTTAAACTTCTTTGAGGTGAACTTGCAGGTTTTAGTGTTTCGCAAGAATCATTTTCATCCTCAGGATCTGTATCAGAATCACAGATCAAGAGTCAAGTCATCTTTTACTCCTCTGTTGTTGTTTCGTTAATTCAAATTAATTTCATATTTTGTTAATTAGATTTTCATCTGTCCTCAATTCTGCTTCGTTCTTCTTTAGAGTTTTGAGAGTTTTGACCTTTTAAAAGGTCAAGAGGACGTCATTTAATTTTTGTTAATATATAAAAAAAATAGACCGGATCTCAACCGGGTTTGACCAGGTCAACCGGGTTTCACCAAACCAACTTTTAAATGGGTTTTACCTCCACCCGGATTGGTTCTAGGCCTGGATTGACTTGTCAGGCCGGTTTAGGTTTTAAAACTGTGCCCTTTAGATTTAAAAAAACTTAAATTTTAACTATGTTTTATATGAAAAAACACCTAAAAAACCTTGATAAATCTATTTCCGACTTTAAATTAGTCGAAGACTAGTCAAAAAACACTTTTAAAAAGCATCAAAAAACAAAAGTAGAAAATCTTTCAAACACAACTATTTAGTTGTACAACATACTCTTACATTTTAGAAGGTATTTAACAGTGATAACGATTATCTTTCAAAATACTTTTCACTTGAAAATGCATTAATATATATATATATATATATATATATATATATATATATATATAGA